GTGTGTATGCATTTAAAACACATTTTTCTTGCTGGGTGTGGTGGCTAATGACTCTAATCTCAGCTATTTGTAAGGCTGAAGCAGAAGGATTGCTTAAGACCAGAAATTTGGGATAAGTCTGAGTAACATAGCAAGACCCATCATTAAGAGAGAGAGAAAGAGAGAGAAAGTGAAAGAGAGAGAAAAGGAAGGAAGGAAGGAAGGAAGGAAGGAAAGAAGGAAGGAAGGAAGGAAGGAAAGAAAGAAGGAAGGAAGGAAAGTGACCAGGCTGAGTGCTAGTGATTCAGGTCTGTAATCCAAGCTACTCAGGGGCTGAAATCAGGGGATTCTGAGGATTGCAGTTCAAAGCCAGCACAGGCAGAAAAGTCCATGAGACTCTTATCGCCAATTAACCACCTTGAGCTATGGCTCAAGTGGTAGAGCACTTACCTTTAGCACAAAAGCTCAGGAATAGCACCCAAGTCCTGAGTTCAAGCACTAGGACTGGCACCAACAAAAACTTAAAAAAAAAATATGGCCAGGCTCATGTCTATAATCTTAGCTACTATTTTGTGCTTGTACTTTTGCCTGGGAAAAAAAGTTCAAGACAGGATCCTGAGTTCAAGACCCAGGACTGGCTAAATAACTCAATTAATAAATAATTAATTTTTTAAAAAAAAGTTCAAGACATTCCTTTGAACCAATGGCTTGGGCCTATCATCCCAGCTTAGGAGAATCCTGGTCCAAGTGTGCGTCTGGGCATGAAGAGAGACCCTATCTCAAAACTAAACTTTGCAAAAAGGTCTGGATGCATGGCTCAGCAGTAGAGTGTGTGCAGATACAATATGTGTGTGTGCATATACAATAATATATTGCATTCTCAAAAACTGTTTCTGATATGTTTGAGCAATCTATTAAAGCAGGATATCTCATAGCAAACGAAATGGGTAGCTGTTGGCTTTGTGATTTCTACATATACCATTAAATACCAACAGTTTTATTTATGAAAATACTTTATGTATTGGTGAGAAAAATATCCCATTATAGAAAGCGAAGTAATGCAATGTAGTGTTTTAGAGTACCAATACAAAGCTAATAGAAAGTTTAGAAAAATCTCCATTCCTAAAAGAAAGCCCTTCCTGATGAAGACCTTTTGTTTGTCAGTCAGTGATACAACTAAAGCAGATAACCTGGAATAAGTTAGGAGTAAGGAGTTAAAAGCCTAATAAGTCTAGCTATCATTTGATAATGGAACACATGCTACTTATATTGTATCTCAAATCCTCCAAACACACCAGAGAAGTGGTATTCTCATTTTGTGAGTGGAGGAAAATGAGCTCCAGAGATAATTTCCTAAGATCGTGCCTATTATGTGATAGAATTAAAATTTGAAAATAAGTCACTGATCTCAAAGCTGCACTCTTCACTGATTGGAATATAGCTTCCTCTTTACGACTCAAAATTTCAATTTGAGATCAAAGTATAAACAAAATACGATAGGGGATGAAAGGTGGGACACATTTTCATTTGACTAACATAATGAAAAGTTTTTTTTTTTTTTAAGAGCTCTGTACTTGTTTCCCTATTTATTTCTTTTACTGTCCGTTGTCAGTTCTAGCTGGAAAAGTTCTTAATTTACATCTTTAGCTCTGACCCAGCTTCTGAGCTATAATCCCACATTTCCTTTTGTTTACCTTTTTGTGACCGAAAATGTGACATGTTTAAAATTAAATTTGTTATTTTCTCCTCTAGACTGACTCCTCCTAATTTTATTCTTAGTCATTCAGTTCATCTTTGAATCCTTTGTAAAACAATGACTATCTATACTCAATGAGATGCAATGTTCCTTGTAGCCCTGAACTTCTAGTATTGCAATTCTGTATTACATACTTAGCCAAAGGGAATTATATTTTTAGGCCCATTCTAGTTATTTTCTGAAAGGTTTTTTTTTTCTTTTTTTTCCCTTTTTTGCTATGTAACAGTATTCTACTCATCCATTCTTATGTGTCATTCAAAGTTGATTTTGCAGGCAGGGAATGTAGCCCATTGGGTCGAGCACTGATTTAGCATGCTCAGTCACCAGCACAAGAAACAAAGTAAAGAAAAAATTCCATTTAAAAATTGTATTTATTTTTGTGCTGGTTCTCCGGCTTGAACTCAGAGCCTCACACTATTTCTTGCTCATGGCTCATGTTCTACCAACTTGGGCTTTGCCTCTGAGTTTTTGCTGGTTAACTGGAGATTGGGTTTTATAGATTTATTTTTTCGGCCTGGGCTGGTTTCAAACCACAATCCTCAGATCTTTGCCTTCAGAGCAACTAGGATTACAAGTGTGAGACACTGGTGCCCAAATGAAATTTATTTATTTTGGGAGAGTTTCAGTATTTTACTCAGGCTGGCCTTGAACTCTTGGTCTCAAGAGCTTCCACCTCAGCCTCTCAAGTAGATAAGACTGCCCAACATCAAAGACTGTTTTAAGTGTTATCTCTTCCTTTTCATCCCTTATGCCTTTCCAGCTGGGCTTGTTAGTAATTACTCTCTCCTTCAGAATATTATAATAACTTTTGCACCTTTCTTAAAGGACTTTAAACCGCTTATACACACACATACTATATCTATAGCTATATGTAACTATAATTTGTTAATCTATACCTACAAACATGTGTATGCACATGAATATGTATGCTAGATGCACATATGTACAAATGTACATATATAGCATGATGTGAATATACAGTATGTGTACATATATTGTACTATAATGAATGTCATGTATAACAAATATCTGATAATGACTACCTTATATAGTATGTATATATACAAGACACAACAAAATAATATATTTGAGGTATAATGTATATATAGTGTATTATATGTGTATATGTACAAAATATAGTATATGTATAAACATACATGCAGATGTATACATTAAATGGAATAGAGAAGATGTCAGAGGGAGATTTGTCAAGAAATATTTGAACCTGGGAAAGGTGGAGAGGGGTTATGGACTGGGTATGAACAAAATGTGTGAGAACAGGAGTGAAGAAAGGGAATCTGGGAGGAGGGTTAAAGTGGCCAATTTGGGAGGTTTCAGAACTTCATGGGGTAAGGAAAACATCCTCCAAAGGAATAGAGGGCAGTTATAGGTGATTGCTTACATGGAGTAAGGCTGTTTAAATAGGTAAACATCCTATAGTAGAAAAGAGTTACAAATATAGAGGACTAAAAACTAGATTGGACCCTGTGAGGCTGAACTGGAGGTAAAACCATAAATATGATTTTACAGTATTTAGATGGGTTAATACATGCAAATGTAAATTTGTGTGTAATATACAGACATTGATACACTGTATGAGCATGAATGTATACATAATCCCTGGGCTGTGATGCTGTAATAGTAGTAAGAAAACATAGGGTTTCTAAGTATTATTTTCCATTCTGTATGGCTGCATCCAGGCTGGGCAAGATAAGTTTGGAATATTTCATTATTCAGGATTAGTAAAAAAAATGCTCAATGGATAATAGGGATATGTCTAAAAGGCACAGAATGATAACATATTAATACAGAACCTGAATGCTGAATATATTGTATAAAAACTCTTTCAAATATTCTGCTTAAAATATTGGTGTGTGCATGTGTGTGCGCGCACACACACACACACACACACACACACATACTAGAATGAATAGGGCTTCTGTGGACCAAATAGCACAATTTGAACATCAAAATAACTAATATTTAATGAAATAGAAATGTTTTAATAGATATAAATAAATTATAAATTTGATGAGAAGCAAGATTATTTAAAAATATGAAACAAGATAGCTTCAGAGAATCTCCCCTCAGAAAATACCCATTAGTTACAAGACAGACATTGACCACATTGAAAAGAAAAACTTTATATTGAAAAGATCTGGCAGATAATATCATATTAAAATAAACATCCATAATGAGAGAAATTACAATTGCACCATTGGTAGAATACAATGAAAAGAACACAGCATCACCTGTGAGACTCCTCAAAGACACCTAGGCTTGACTCTTATCACCACTAAATATCAGACCCCAAGTGAAGGGTATTGTATGAATACAATTGGCTAGGAATCCAAGAAAGACTAAGGTAAGTGTACCAGACTGAAGGCAACTGAAGATAGATGGCAAATAAATGTGTGGATTTTAGGGGGGGCGGGGATGGTGGGAGTGTTGCTAATTTGTTTTTGTTGTGTTTTGGAACTGAATACAATAAAGGACATTGTTTGGGCAACAGGCCAATAGCAATGTACCACAAAAAATGCTCTCATTTGATAGTTATATTGTGATTGTATAGAGTGGGGCATGGGGTCAGCAAATTAAATCTCAAACTGTTCAGGAAGAAAAGATTCTTTGTACTGTATTTGCAACTTTTTTTGTGTGTAAGTTTGAGATTGTTGCAAAATAAAACCTGAAAAAATAACACTCGAAACACTGATAGTGGAAAAGCTCACAAGACAGCCAAGAAGCTGAAAGCAGCTAATCTCATTCCACCATCCATTCAGTGTGTGACCTTGGCTGAGATTGGCCTCTTACTTTGGTCTGGTACGGGCTCTTCAGAGTCCCTTTCTTCTGCAAGTAACTTTCCAATGGTTACATCTAAAGCATTAGCCCTGCCTGAATTTTTCCAGTCACACCCACCAGATGTATCTTTGCCTTCCGGATCCCCAAGGCTACACCCAAGGATTTTGACTGCTGATAAAAATAGTTGTGGCCGGAATCTGCGGACTGCAAAGTCACTTTGTCAGGCACAACTTCTGCCTTGAGCCTCATCATTCTTTCAGCAATGGAGCAGTCATGCCTGTCACAGTGGGCGCTCGATGGCTCGGCGGCCCACTAGCCGGGCTAGCAGCTACGGCCGGACTCCACAGCGCTCCCCTATAGCGGGCCCGGGCCGCGCCCTCTCGGCTTTCCGGCCCCGCCCCCGGCCCCGCCCCCCGCCCCGCCCCGCCCCGCCCCGCCCCGCTGCCTCAGTGCCTCACGGTGGCCTCGGCGCGCGCGTCCCGGGGCTTCCTCGCGGTGCTGGGGAGCAGGTAAACGTGGCGGGACTGGCGCCGGCGCGGAGCCAAGAGGGATACCCTCTGGGCGGACAGTCGGGGATCCCGGGAGAGGCGCGGCCCGGGCGCGAGGGGGCGGTGTCGGACCAGCCTGGCGGCTGGTGCGGGACGGTGACCCCGGCCTTCCCGGGCAGTGCAGCGAGCGGCTCCAGGGGCCGGGCCGTGGTCGCCGAGGCCGTGTGGTCGCCGGGGCTCCGGGGTGAAGGGACCAGCCGAGGGGGTCAGGGGTCGCGGCCTAGGGAGCGGGAGCCCGCCTAGGAGAGGTTGGCGGGATCGTGGGGGTCCCCGGCGGCGGTGCGCTCGCTCGTCCCCGCGGGCTCCCGGGAGAAGCCGGGCTTCCCTTCCCCCGCCCCAGCACAACAGGTAGGCGCGGAGTCTGTGCTCCGTCGGGGCCCGGTGCGGGGAAAGGCGGGAGGTCGGAACCTGCCTCGCCCGGCTGGCACGCCACTCCCCGAACCCGCCCTGTCGGCCCCAGCCCCGCTTCCTCCGGGCGCGGTTCTCCCCGGGGCCGTGCGTTCTGGGCGGGCAGCCCTCTCGGGTTTGCCGGACTGGGCGGGGTGGGGGGGGGGGTGCCGGACCGTCTCCACTTCAGGATCAGAACATAGTTCCTTCTTTCTTCCCCTGTTGGCCAGCCCGACGTCGTTTCGGGCGATTGTAAATGGTCAGACACGTTGCACGGCGCTTTCTGGTCCTTATTAATCACCCTATCGTGTACAGCTGGCGAGCGAGCTGTCAAATCAGATGAGTCAGGTGGCCCGACCTCCTCCAAGGCTACCTCGTTTTTATGTGCAATCATTTTATTTTATTTTTTTCCCCAACGAGTTCCTTAGTGCTTTTTAGGAGCCGAGTGAGAGCCCTTAAAAGAATTTACAGCCTAGGGGAGATGTGTTTAGCTTAGAGGAGAAACAAAAAGCCCCGCAGTGCAGTGAAGAACTGTAATTTCTCGAGATTCGTTAGGAAAACAGAAGCGCCCTTCAAAGTGGGCTTGAGATGGATGCAGAGAAGAAGTCTCCTTGTTTTGCAAACTTTTTGTTTTACCAAGTGTGTCTTGGAGAAAACGATGTTAGAGAAGCTTTGAAGCGACCTAGGCTTTTCTTTCTTTAATAAAGGAGGCGGGCGGGCAAGTTTATTTAGCATAAGAATAGCGACAGTTGGAGAATACTGCCTTACTTTGGAGTGCACTTATTTCACATAGATTGGTACAGAATAGGAAGACTCCAGACCTTCAAGACCTGAGTTTTGGAGAAGCTTCTTCAGTGCTATTTGTGGATCTTAGATTAGGCAATTTTCCTTTTCTTTTGCTAGTTTTGAATTCAGTGGCAAGTACTTAAGTTTAAACTATTAACTGAACTAACTACATTCGTTTTAAATTTATGAATGTATTCGCTATTGGAAAAAGTACCTGTTTACTTGTCTTTACTCAATCCTTCCCTTTTCCCTACCCCCACTCCTGTCCTCTTTCCTTCCCTTCTTCCTTCCTTATTTTAAAAACAGGTGTTAAGATAGTTTACAACATCTTTTGGGAACTTTCTTCATTTTGAATAAAATAGAGGTTAAACTATGGATTTTAAAATTATTTTAAATTCTGTTTAATGACATCTGCATTAAAAAAAAAAGCCTTACTGAGTCTTAAGTGCCTCACTAATTGTCCTGTGATAAAATTGAAGAGCTTAATGAGACTGTGGTTTTCTGGTTTAAAAACAAAGCAAAAACAGTTCTGAGGAAAGAGAGTAAGAGAGAGGAAAAAGAAAAAGCACTTCTGTTATTTAGCACATGTGGAGATGCTTTTATAGACCTCATTTAAGAAGTGAGTTAACTAGAGACTAAGGAATTAGTAAAGATTTGCTATTCATTGTCTAGTTCTAGTAAAGATTTGTGTCCATTGTCTAGATCTAGTGTTAAAGTCTTCAGCTGGAATAGGAAAGGACCATGCTACAACCTGTGGGTCAAATCCATCTTAGCAGTTTTTATAGGTAAAGGTTTATTGGAATATGCCCTTGCCTGTTTGGTTATATATTTCCTTATGGCTGTTGTATGTTTATAAGTAATAGTAAGTTTATATTGCCCAGAAAGCCTAAAGCATTTACTCTTTTGTTCTTTATGGGAAATAATTGTAGGCTCCTGGACTAGTACTCTAAATGCTTAAGATATTAAATTGAGCTTTAATTCTGTCAAGTGAGTGTGGAAACTATAAATCTCTCTGGATCCTAGAAATGTAATAATACAAGAGAGGTATGGCTTTTTTGATTTTTAGCTTTTGATTTTAGCTTTGGAATTTTTCTTTTCAGTTTGGTCAATGTCTGTCTTTAATGTGTTATTCATGATGTTCATCATAAGTAGCAAGTTGCCTGTACTTAAAAACTTTTTTTAAAACCATGAATCTAGTGACTGCAGTGGGTTATTAAATCAGATGGAATATTATTGGAAGTATGAATGTAAACATGAAATTAAATAGGGATTTACAGTAAAAACCATATGGATTAGTACTCTAAACAAATATCTAATAAACTGAAATTGGATCTTGTATCCAGAATCCTGCTTGGACTCTTAAAAATAAATAACAACCTGAAAGATGTTCATTCTAGAAAAGATACATAAAATAGCAATGTTAAAGTACTATGAAACAAGTTATAGTTACTTGCCTAAGAAACTAGAGCTGGTTATATGATACCAAAGAAGGAAAACTTGGAAGAGGTGATCATAGTAAATATTTAAAGCTGTACATATACTTTCACTAATCTTAAAATAATAATATGGTGCTAGTTTTACTAAAATAATTTTTTTTAGTAACTTAGTTGTCTTTATTGCCCAAGTAATACTTGTCAAAGGATAAATACACTACAGCATTTTTTTCTTTTCTGTTGCATTTCTAAGCTTCATATATTGCCTGAGTTAATATTTTGGTTCATAAATAAAATAATATAATACTTAATACAAGTAATATATGTTGGGGTTTTTTTGTACCAGTAAAATAATCTGAAACTGAAATTGTCTGCTGAAGCACTAAATCTTAATACTTTCGGTGCTAGAGGTGTGGCTCAAGCAGTAGTACAGCTACTCAAACTTGAATTCAAACCCTAGTACTGCTGAGTGAGAGGGGTGAGGGGAGGAAGGAAGGAAGGGAGGGAGGGAGGAGGGGGAAGGTGAAAGGGAAAGGAGTGGGGAGGGAGGAAGAAACAGAAAGAAAAGAATATAGAAGTAGAAAATTATTTGATCTTTAATTCTGGGGCCCAAAAATTGAGAGATTTTTTTCTAAACTTATTTGGCAGCAAAATTGACCTGAAAGAATACAACTGCTATATGTAGTTATTATTTATTCCATCTCATGTGAATGACTTCTTTTTGCTGTAGAAATGCATTTGTTTGGTAACAGAGTACTTCCCAGACAATATGGAGGAATGACATAACAGATGGTATATTTACTCTGTTTCATGGATAAGCCAGTCAGTAGCAGCCAGAAGAAGGCAGAGTAACATGGAGTTACTCTAGTGAGCTATACTTGGAAAATTAAGAGTATCTGGACATCTGGCAGGGAGTGAGAAGCAAATGTCTGCCAAGCAGAGCCTTCATGTGTGTTTCCAAGAAGTTAGAAATGGAACAAAATTCTGAGCCAGGTATTTTGTATGCTGTATTATGAATTAGAAGGTGAACCATGAGGAAAACTAGGGTCAGACCATAATGTGGATTAAGGATAAATCTGAGTGTTGAGAAAAGCCATGTACTGTTAGAGAAGGGATGGGAGGATTCTTAGCAGATGGGGTCTAACAAGGAAGTTCTGAGTGGCAGTTTGTGCAAGCAGCAAATGCAAGTTATTCTGCAAATAGAGCAAAAAGGCCTGGTCTGTCTGAAAATTCTGCTGTGCTTGGGGAATAATGGAATTTTTGTAAACTTTTGAACTCATAGCCCCAAATATCTCTCTACATTTAAATAGTATTTCATCATTGTTTGCTGCCTCCTTTGAATTCTTTCTGCTCTTGGTTTGTTCCTTCACTGTGTGTGTGTGTGTGTGTGTGTGTGTGTGTACGTACGTGCGTGCGCGCACGTGTGCATGCACACATGCGCACATGTGCTCAGGGCTGTTTGTGAGCTTTTATGCTCAAGGCTCTAGTGCTCTAGTGCTGGAGCTCCATTTTTGGCTTTTCTTTTCTCTTTTTTTCCTTTGGAGGAGGTGGTTAATTGGAGATCAAAGTCTCATACTTTTCCTACCCAGACTGTCTTCAAATGATCCCCAGAACTTAGCCTCCTGAGTAGGATTACAGGCATTAGCCACCAGCACCTGGCCTGCTCCTTCCCTTTTCATGTGGTCCTCTACAATTCAGATAACTGGACCATTAGTCTCTAATAAAAATCCATGAGTTCTGGAAGTTGCTATATAGACTGGTTTTTGTTTGGTTTCACTCAACCAAGCACCAAGTCATGAGATTGCTAGGTGATGATATTTAGTAAGCATATTACAAACTGTAGCACTTTTCATCTTAAAATGTACTTCTGAAATTTTTAGGTGTCCGGAATGAACTCTCTTCTTCCAGGAAGGAGATGCAAGAGTTTGGTTTGTAGACAGTGATAAAAATTGTTAGTAGACCAAGAATAAATTAATACTTTTAGTACTTACTGATTAATTGCCCGGGTGGTCAATTGAGAGCTAACATCTATAGAAGACTTAGCAGTTTAACAAACAGGCTCAAAGTGCTAAAGACACACTGAAGAGCAAAGTGTTGTGCAATAAACAACAAAGTCATAAAGATCAGATGCTTCAGCACTAATGGCAGTAATTGTTATTGATAGCTGTGGTTAGAAACTGAAATACATAAATGAATGCTGAAAGTAGACCTGGGTGTTACTTTCTCTCATGTAAATAACATTTTAGCCCTAGATAAATTTTTTCCTGTGTGTATTTTGCCTTGGTAGTCAAGCCCCTACCAATTAAGTTATGCCCTGGCCCTTTTAAACTTCAGTTATTTTTTTCCTATGTCTTG